TTTGGTTTTGTTTTGTTTTTTTTTTTACAAAATCTCCTCCCTGTGCTGGACAAAGAAAAAGAATCTCCTCCTGCTGCAGCAGGACCCGGCCCTGCCCCCTTCCCCTCCCCAAAATCCCAGCGGGGCCCCGTCCTGGTGGGATAACCCTTGGGGTCACCAGTGTGGGGGGAAGGGGGAAACACAGGGAATGCTCCCCGTGGCTGTGGGAGAGGTGGAAACAAAGGAAAAGGGGATGGACACCCAAATTTTGGGGTCCCTGTGAGATCCCTGGGCAGAGCCCGGGGCTGGATTTGGGGGATTTGGGAGGATTTGGGGCATCCCTGGGGGGATTTGGGGCATCCCTGGAGTTCCTGAGCACCCCATGAAGGGTTTTTTTTTGGGGGGAGCTCAGCTGGAGGGGTGACTGGGCTGGGATTTTGGGGTTGGGGTCTCCATCCCTTTGGGGCTCCTCGGAGCTCCCCACGGAGAGGAGTCGGATCCCGGAATTCCCGAAGGGGGGAAGAGAGGAAGGAGGAGCTCAGGTTCACACACATCCAGGTCCATAGTGCAAAATTGGGGTCCACAGGTTTGGAGGGGGGAAAAAAGGGAGCCACGAGGGTGACCCTTGGGCAGGGGATGGTCCCCCCCAAAAAACATCCCACCCAGCACTGCCACACTCCGGAGGGGAAGGGGAGCCGGGAAATCCTCGGAGGGGGCACAGGGAGGGCCCATCCCTGCTCGTGCCAGGGCTTGGAGAGGAGCTCCTGGAGCAGAACCACAACCAGTCCATCCCCACAGCCAGGCCCTTCCTTCCCCTGGGGGACATCCCAGGACAAGGATCAGGGAGATGCCGGGATCCGCCTCCACCCGCTCAGCCGGAGGGGTTGGGGTCCCCCCCCCGCGCCCCCAGAGGGGTTTTGGGGCCCGGGTTTGGGGTCTCTGCGGGCACAGTCCGGGTTTGGGAGGGGGCTGGTGCCCCTCCCTCGGTCCCTTCCCGGAGTCCAGGCCCTTCCTCGGCTTCGGGGAGTGAGGATGAGGAGAAGGCAGGAGGGAAGGGCAGGTCCTGGGGCAGGGGACGGTCCCCACTGTCACTGGGCCATGGGCTCCTCCTCCTCCATCGGCTCCTCGGGCGCCCTGAGAGGGAGAAACAAGTGAGGATTCCAGTGGGGATTCCTGTGGGGATTCCTGTGGGGATTCCTGTGGGGATTCCTGTGAGGAATCCTGGTGGGACACGGGACAGCCCCCCCCCTCCACCCCCAGGGCCTCCTGCAGGAATCCCAGAGCATCCCAAATTCCTGCCCTGCTGGGAACAGGGGATGAGGGGCACCCAGACCATCCAGGATGGACCAGGATCCATCAGCTGACATCCCCATGGGACACAGGGAATGAGGGACACCCAGATCCCTGGGATGAACTGGGATCCACCACCTGACATCCCCATGGGACACAGGGAATGAGGAGCATCCAGGATCCCTCAGGGAATGAGGGATACCCAGACCCCTGGGATGGACCAGGATCCACCAGCTGGCACCCCCATGGACCCCAAAGATCCACCAGGAAATGGGGGTCACCCAGACCCCCTGGGATGAACCGGGATCCCTCAGGGAATGAGGGACACCCAGACCCCTGGGATGGGCCGGGATCCACCAGCTGGCACCCCCATGGACCCCAAAGATCCACCAGGGAATGAGGGACACCCAGACCCCCTGGGATGGGCCGGGATCCCCCAGCTGGCACTCCCAGGGGCCGAGGGGGCTCCGGGGGTCTCATCTCACCTCTTCTCCACCATGACGGCCACGGAGAGCGAGGCCAGCGCCGTCACCGTCTCCACCTCATCGGCCTCGTGGTCCCGCTGGGCCTCCAGGAAGGAGCAGCCGAGCTTGGAGGCGAAACGGTGCAGGGCCACCCAGTACCTGCCTGCGGGGCACGGGGGGCACAGGGTGGGCTGGGATAGGGGGGTGGCACAACAGGGATACCCCAGGACAGGGGTGTGCTGGGATGGGGATGACTAGGGATAGGGATATCCCAGGACAGGGGTGTCCCAGGACAGGGATATCCCAGGATAGGGATGTCCCAGGATAGGGGTGTGCTGGGATGGGGATGACTCAGGATAGGGATATGCCAGGACAGGGACATCTCAGGATAGGGATATCCCAGGACAGGGATATCCCAGGACAGGGGTGTCCCAGGACAGGAATGTCCCAGCACAGGGATATCCCAGGATAGGGGTGTCCCAGGACAGGAATGTCCCAGCACAGGGATATCCCAGGATAGGGGTGTCCCAGGACAGGGATGTCCCAGCACAGGGATATTTCAGAACAGGAATATCCCAGAACAGGGATATCCCAGGATAGGGATGTCCCAGGACAGGGATATTCCAGGATAGGGGTGTCCCAGCACAGGGATGTCCCAGGACAGGGATGTCCCTCCCAACCCAACCATCCCATTATTCCATGAAGTGACTCCTTTGGGGCTCAGGAGGGCAGGAAAGGCCCCTCCCCACCATTCCCCAACATTCCCAGCGTTCCCCTCCCCACCATTCCCCAACATTCCCAGCGTTCCCCTCCCCACCATTCCCCAACATTCCCAGCGTTCCCCAGGCCTGGACACTCACTCTGGACCTGGATCACGGTTTCCAGGGAGCGCACGGCGTTGGGGTTGGGCTTCTGCCTCAGGCTCTCCTCGGGAAGGGGATCCAGCTGGGAAGGAGGAGGTTTTATATCCTCCACGCCTTTTATATCTTTCATATCTTCTATATATTTTATACCTTTCATATCTTTCATTTTTTTTATATATATTATACATTTTATATATTTTATACATTTTATATATTTATATATTTTATATATTTTATACATTTTATATATTTTATACATTTTATATATCTTATATTTTTTATATTTTTTATATATTTTATACATATATCTTTCACATATTTTGTATCTTTTATATATTGTATACATTTCACATCTCACCTTTCACATCTATCCTACTTTTACCTATTTTACCCATTTTATACCCCTCACATTTTTATCTCTTCTCTACATTTTATCCATTTCTCACCTCTCGTATTTTTTATACACCTTGCATATTTATTTTAAACACATTTTACACCTTTCACACCTCACCTCTCACATCCCTCAGGCCTTTTATATATTTTACACATTTCCTACGTCTCACGCCTTATCTTCCAGATGACGAAGTTGACATAAAATCAAGGATTTGGGGGTCCCTGGGGTGTCCCCCCCCCCTCCTCACCTCGTTGCCCAGCAGGGCGGACACGCAGGCCTCGGAGGCGTCGCAGATGGCAGTGAGGTCGTGCCCCCCCTCCAGGGCCAGGACCACGGCCCCCCCCGCCAGGCTCATCAGCTGCTTCGTCATGTAGCCAAAACCTGGGGGGTGGGATGGGGGGGGGACACCTGTGAGACCCCCCCCCTGCCCAAAACTGAGACCCTCTCGGGGCACCCCCCCCGAGGGTCCCCGAGTTCCCAAAATAGCCCTCACACAAGCACGGGAAACCCCCCCCCTGCCCC